TAAAAAACAGAAGCCAACTCGGCTGCAGAGGAAACTCATCCACAGCTTGGCATCATTAGGGACATTTTATTCTTTGTCACACCTAAATGTTTTACTGTGACACATTCTTACATATAAGCTAAAGACTGCCAGAGCTGTGCAAACTGCCCTTTTTCAAACAAGCTTTTTTTAACCAACCTGGCCCTGTAAAAAGGTATATTGATAGTAATGGTAGTAATACAGCATAGCAACTACAAATGATCTTAGCGACAAGCACTGCTGTCCTAAGCAGCCTATTCTTCCAGATTTTCCTTCAAGATTGTTTGGAAAGACTAAATCAGCGTTTTCCATGTAATACTACAAGTACTGTTGGCTTGAATACCCAGTTTTAAAAGATGCTGTCTTCTGTTTCGCCTGCCGCGACTTGCAGACTGACAGCAGCTTGGAGGAATCGGTCCGAAAGGGCGTAAGTGACTGGAAAAAACTAAGCATCAAACTGGGAAAACATGCAAATTCTCTGGCCCATAAGAAGTATATGGTTAAATTGGACAACTTCAAACAGAGCACATCTGGAGGATCGATAGCTGCCATATTGTTGGAAAGCCACAACGCCACGGTTGAGAAGAACAGATCTTATCTTTGTAAAGTAGTGAATATCGTGATATTGATGTCTGCACTTGGATTGCCTTTCTATGGACACAGGGAGGCTACTGATTCAGAATCTCGTGGGAATTATCTTGAGGTTTACACATTTTTTTTCGAAATATGATTCCGACTTTCAAAGTATGCAGTCTAATTATTTCAATGCTGCAAGTCCAGATTTTCAGAACAAAATAATTGAAATATGCGCAAATTTGGTTCATGCGGAAATTGCAGAGAACGTGCAGGACACTGGGTTTTTTGCTGTAATCGCAGATGAGGCCAGGTCATCCAAAACTGAGCAGCTGTCACACTGCTCAGATATGCAGCTTAAAATCAAGGAGTGTTTTTTGTGTTTTATTGATTGTTATGCATCTCGAAATGCAGCTGGGATCGTGGACACCATAAACAGTGGATTGTAGACTGTGTGGACTGAAAAACATCCCAATTGTTGCCCGGAGCTATGATGGTGCCTCTGTAATGTCTGGCCAAGTGTCTGGAGTGCAGCAGCGCATTAAAGGGATGCATCCATACACAGCATACATACACTGCTTGGCTCACAAACGGAATCTCGTGCTTGTGGACTGCTGCACGGTGAACCATAGTGTCAAAACATTCCTGACTTCCTGAAACTGTACTCAGTATTTGCAGAGCCGGCAAACAATCATCGCTTTATTGAAGTCAAGAAATCGCTGGTTATGAAGCCAACCAAAATTGCACAGCCCAGTAATGCAAGTGGCGTACTCTGCATACCGTTAAAACACACTACTAACTATTACACAGTGGCTGAGAGAAATAAGTGATAAGGGAGACAAATGGTCAGTGGAGGCCACTGGTCTATGTGAGCATATGGGCAGGCTGTCATTCATTACATGTCTCATTGTACCTGAGACATACTGCGTGTGATTCACGTCACACACAAAGCCCTTCAGTCCTCCAAGCGGCTGTGCTCACCGACAAAAAAAAAAGCACTTTGTGTCACAGAGACAGACTGACAAATGGAACGATGTATGGGGATCAGTAAAGCAGTTCTGCCGAGACAACAACGTCTCCATACCCGAGGACATTCAAAGTCAGACACCTGCTGGTCCTGGACCACTTGTATGGAAAAGATAAAGGGCTGCACACCCCCCCACCTCCCTCAACAATTTCCTGATAACAACGACTTTGGGCCACAGAGAAGAACATAATGTAAATACTGTACAAATGTCCCAGAGTGAGACCCCTGGATACCAAAAGCACCTGTATTTCCCAGTGCTGGGCACCATCCTTTGCAAACTGGACAGACGACTCATGGGAGAGGCTGTTGAACTCACACAGGCCTGTGCAGCAGTGTTAAGATGTGACAAAAGTGGAATTGAACCTCTCGTACAAAAGTATGTACAGCCTCTGAAAAATCTACCACCACCTTGTTGGGGCAGAGATGGATTAAAGCCTCTACTGTCTGTGTCACATGAAAATCTTCAAAAAACTGTGGCAAGGGCTGTTTGCCCAAATCTATACAAGCTGCTGCAGTTGGCACTGACTCTACCTGTTGGATCTGCCACTTCCAAGAGGCGTTTCTCTGCAATAAGAAGGATTCGCAACTGACCACGCTTAACAACAGGAGCTGCACGGTTTTCATGCCTTGCTGTGCTTCACATCGATTCAAAGTGCAGGAAAAAAGTAATGGCTTATAGCCCAGAAAATACGATAAACTAATATGTCAGAAACAGCATTGCATCATGTCCCACTCTCAAGAAAACAAATTAGTGTCAATTTATCTTATAGATCTGAGAACGTGAAGAAAAACATTTTTACTTTGCATCTAATATAGGAGGCCAATAAACTAATAACAGAAAATAAAGGACTAGGAAAAATCTGTGGACTGACAATGAGAAATTGTTTACTAAAGTTTAATAATAAGTCAACCTTTGGATCAAACTAAAATGATGTTTGATTGTAAATGAAGTCTGATACAATTCCTGTCAAACCAGAGATCCCCTTTATTGAACCATTGCAAACATCGCAGCAGTTACCTGGGAGATCAGAGAACGTTCCTCTCTCGATGATGTGCTTCCTGTACAGAGTCTTCAGAACCTTTGCACTACCAAACCTCTTGAAGCGGCTCTTTACATTGTTGTAATACCATTCAAGGGACTGCGTCCTAAAAATCCTGCAGATATGAGAGAAGAAGACAGAATATTAAGTCAAAAGGACATTTTTATTGTTAATTTTTATTTGCTTGTCTTTAAACAAAATAGACAGTTATACAAGTTGAGTGTACTCAAGTTGCATACTTGAGTGTTCTGCATACTTTTATGTCTGGCATTTTCTTTCATTATTGGAAGAAAAAAACAGTGGGTGATTCAATGGCAGCCCGACAGACCCTGGCACAGACATCATTACATAAGAAATAATAGATCCATAGCAGAAAGGGTTTAGCAAAAAAGCTCAGAGAAAGGAGCTCCCTTTTCTCCAGCAGTGCTGCACTGGATTGCATGAAACTCTGCCAACTCTGTGTTTAATCTCGCAGCCCCTTCTGCTCTTGTTTGGATTTTTTTTTAGCTGCTGCTGCACCAATAATGAGTCCAAATCAAGGCAGAATCCCTGCTGGAGGAAACAAAACAAATACCCAGTATGCACATTCTGCTGCTCAACTTCAGAATAACATGCAAATCTCAATTCTTTGCAGAAGGTCTAGAATCAAACATTACTTCTTTCCATCCTGTTTCTGGGGAGTCAGACTTGGGAATAGATGCCCAGACACGGCATATATTTTTCTGGTTAACCTGTTAATTCCAATCATTTAAAGTTCACAGCTTTTTCAATTTAGTCCAATGCCGGACGTTTACAGAGGACTGTTTTTTTTTTTTTTTTTCCAGCAAAGTAATTCTCACTGGTGGAAATACATTGGTTGGTTCCTTGGATGAACTCCCTTACTGTTCAAAACAAGCTATGGGAAGTAACAAAGTCACCATCCTTTCAGGTTGTTTTAAGCGTAAGATCCTCACCAACATTTTTCTTCTTAGTGCTGATCAGCTGGCGAAATTAAGGTTGCTGCATCTTTAATCTTTTTTAGTCAGAGAAATTATGATAGTTTGTTTAAATTATTTTAGGGCAGTCAGGGTGTTTAGACTAGAGGGAGTACCAAGAATCCCTCTAATAAAGGTAAACCAAGTATTTCACCGGTTAATATCAACTTAATATAGTCTCAGTATTATTATATAAAGAACAGAACAGCAAAAAGGTTTAAAATTTGTCTATAAGCCAGTTTGCATTGAAAACGCCAACTAAGTTCTGCAGGTTTTATTAAAGTTTGTTTCTTAAGTTAATATATACAGATAACACTACAATTGTTATGGTTCTTCCCTTTTGGACTTTAAGTTTTCAGTATCTATGTTATTCTGTTTGTTGATCTTTGGTTTATTTTCCATTTTGAGCATATTTAAACTGTGTTTTTTTGTGTTTTTGGTTACTCTCTGTTGCCCCCTTGTGCCTGTCTCCTTTCCTGTAGCTCCCTTCTGGTCACTTCTATCCAAACCTGCTCCATATCAGCTAATTACCCCAGTATTTGTTCTGTCTCCCATTTATACTCTCCCTGTGCAGTACAGTACCTCACTGCTGGTTTCTCATTGTTACTTGGCTCCTCATTTGTCTGTTTTCCTCTGACGTCACATGGTTTTTTTTGTTTCCTGTATTTTGGTCTTGAATTTTATTTCTGTTGCCCTTTCTTTTATTAAATCGGGAAAAAAACTTGTCTCTGCCTCCTCATCTCTGCATTTGATTCCACAACCAACCTCCACCCAACCTGGCAATATTGACCAGTTGTTGATGTTGTAATGTTTTAGCCAATGTAATTTGAAATTGTGGTATAAATACAATTAAACAATGAAGCAATTGGATGTTTGCCTTAGGTTATCATACTGAGAGAAACAAAAAAACTCTTACAAAATTGAAGATTTTAACCAGCAAGCCCAGTCAGAAAAACTGTTCAAAAGAACCAGAGTGATCTTAGAGGGCCGAGGTAGAATAACAAACAAGGATTGTTACTGGGACCAGTTACCAAGCGAACAGGTGACTGTCCAGTAAAAAGGTTCATTTATAAATGCTAACCAGCTTTGCAGCTTAAGGGTGCAATATGGTGATGAGAGACAGTCTGTGTGACCAGTCAGCTGTGGGAGTTCAGCACAGTAGATGCTGGGATTGCAGTGAATCATTACATGCTCACCAGGTTTGACCATCAGAATGCACTAAAAGCAGAACAGGCCCCATGGCTTGAGCCATCGGTTATCTCCTTTAGAAGCGGCTACGCCTGACATTATTCCAAAACTAATGTAAGTGGGCTGCTTTGGCTCGGTGGGTAGAGTAACTGTCCTGCAATTGGAAAACTATTGACTAATTTCTGGGTTCCTCCTGCTACAAAACAATGAGCCCTTATATAAACCACTTTTTTTCAGTTCTGCCAACAAATTAGAGTATTGATGAATGTGGCTCCAATCAATGCACCTTGATTGCCTGGTATGTCATGGGAAGTGGTCTAGTTTTGCTTTGGGTGAATATTTGGTGCCTAAATCAAAAGTATGCTTTTACCAACATACCAACAACACCAACCTTTTCTGCTGTCTGCATTAAAATTAGAACAGAAAGGGAAGATAGCATAAATAAACAGCCCACCCTTGACTTCAAATTAAGTGTACATCTGGACGCTTCTGTTTGGTGAGACAAAGAGCCTTGGAGGAAAGCAACCATGCTAATAAAGGCATCCTGAGTGCCCCTGAGGCTCACTGAGCTGCCATGTTCATCCATTCTCCCGCCACCTCTTCCTCCCCTGGATTTATTATTCGCTGCCTCTATCAACTGGGCTGCTCAATGGGTCTCGGCTCCTTAATTTCATGCCATGGGTCAGCCTTGTCATTTTAATAGTTGCAGGCAAGCTCCAGCAAAAAAAAAAAAAAAAAGTCTAGCTGTTTCTGATCTGTGTCTGGACATGAGATAGAAGCCACAGGCATCAGGAGGCACAAATACAAATAGGTTTCACCTCCAATCTGAAATGAGCTGATGCATCATAAGGTACCCTTTGGACTGAGAGGCAACGAGGAAAAGGAGACTCATGCATCATAGCTAAGAGCTTTTTTTTATTTTTGCAATATAAATCAGCTATATTTACAGGCTGTGAATGAAACAAACAGGCTGCCAAAACCCAACAGACAAACATGATTGGAGGCAGTCCAAAGAAAACATAAATACCAATCTAATTTATTAGCACCCTAAAAGATATTCAAATTTCATTGCAGTAGTATTCTAGTGCTTTAGACTTAGAGACTTAGACAGATTTTATTTGTCATTTTGTTTACACAAGTGTAAAACAAAAATAAATTTTGTTTGGAACTGCAGCCTTGAAAAATAGTAAAAATGACTGTAAATTTACAGTTGTAACATTTTTTTTTATACTAAAAAATACATATCTTATAGATATAAAACATATTTTGAGTATGTTTCTTCCAAAGACCTTTTGAGTAAATTCATATACTCAAAAAAAGTAAATATGCATATATCCTTCAGGGCTAAGTAACTATGAATCCATGATCTTCTGTGGCAAATAACTATAAATTTAAAGATTTTGAAAAGCCATAAAACAATGACAGCTAAATAGCTACAAGTTCTTCATACAAAAAAGCTAGAGGCCTGATTAAAAATAAAAAATACAAAGTAAAGAATAAAAATAATAAGAAAAGGTTTCTGTAATAAATAATGCTCGGTAAGGACCCAGTTTCTTTTTGTTTTTTGATAATAATAATAATAATACATTTTATTTGAAAGCGCCTTATCACAACACCCAAGGACACTGTACAGACAGATAAAAACATTAAAAACAGGGAGCTAAAAAGTACAAGCATAAGATGCCACAGAAAACAAAACAGCAGGAAGTAAAATAAAACCAAAGGAAGAAAAGGAAGAGAACAATATTGAAGTGATGCGTAAGAACTAGATGGGATAGGACGAAGGGGGTAAAGTAAGGAAGGGAAAATATTTAAACATCACAGCAACAAGTTTTGAAAATGTAGGATTGATTTATCTTAAAGGTGCATTGCATAAGTTTAAAGGTTAAATACTAATGATACTTGTAGTGTTGAAGTGCTTGAGATCCGTCATGGTTGTGAGACCACATTTTTATTTTCTTAGTCTTGTCTTTATATTGATGACATTTATACTCCTCCTTGTTTTGGTCTCGGACAGGGGGGTCTTGGGCTTTTTTAAACAAAACTGGCTGAGAATGTTTCTCATACTTTACTCTAAAAAAAAAAAAAAAAAAAAAACATAAAAAAAACTGTGTGGTTGCATGGAAAAAGTAAAAGCAAAAACCAATATTCAAAAATGCTACCAAAAATGCCTTACTCAAATGTCTGCTTTTTCACACAGCTCATTTAAATTAGTTCGTACTGACCCTTCCCTCTATCTATTCTCTCTCCCTGAAATGAAAGGGTTATTGTGACTTACTGTATCAGTTCAGTTGTGTTTACATGAACTTTTTCAAGGAACTAAACACAACAAATTTGCTATGATTCCAAGTTTTTTGCTGTAAGGAAATTAGAACAAAGATTCTCCAAATTATACAGGTTGCCTCAATAAGACCAAACATCTCATTTACAATATAGATCTGTGTAGATAAACATAAACAAAATCATCAAATATATAATTTTCCTTTGATGTATATATGGTTTTGCCTTAGTCTCGACCTCTAAATGTCTTTGCCTTATCTCAGTCTCGGTACTCCCTGGTCTTGGTTAGTCTTGACTACAACACTAGACATTTATCTCTAAATGTTAAATAATATGACAGCCTTTTTATGCCACAATCTGGAGTGTATTGTTATTTAAAAACAAATATTGCAAAATATCCCAGTAGGAACTAGGTGACTAAGAACCAGTAACAACCTGTTTGAAAAGGTGATCACCTCTACAATCAAATTTGGTATTTACAGGTACATGCCAATACAAAATATTAAGAACCCCTGTCTTATTAGAGATGACATCTAAGACAGGAATTATACATTTTTATTAAAGTTTCTGCACCATCATCTGCTTGATTCCATGTAGAAATATAAGTTTTGTAAAGGCACAACTTGCCTTTCAGAAAAAAGGCGAGCGATTTAGGACAGCTGGAGAAGCATCT